GGATTGAAGTACCTATGTAAGTGTCTTCTGATGATTAGGTAAAAACTGTGATTGTGGTACCTGCGAAAAAGGTAAGAAACAAAAATCACCCTCCGTAAACCAGCTGAGTTTCTGTATCCCAAGAGACTAAATTAATATCAGTTGGGTAAAAGTAACATTAATAACTTCAGTAGTAACCCTAAAACTAACCTATTTGACAGAATTGATACTTAAGATGTCATATAAGTTACTAAAAATCGCCCATTTTCATTATTACATTTCTTGTTCTACTAGATCACGTGGGATACGGATATTGCTTTACTATCCTAAAAAACAAAATGCTATGGAGGGACCTATCTTTTCCACCTTACAGATACAGGGTTTATATTGTTAATTTAAGCTGGTCCTATTTATAAAATTAGTTTTATTCAGTAATCAAGAAACCTTTGTCCTGTATAATTGATAATAATTATTATTATAATAAGCATTAGTGTTTTTTTTATATTTTATGGCTTAAGTATGCACCTAATATGCCAGTCTCTGTTTCTGATTTGATTTTTATTAATATATGTTTTGTGTAGGCTTTGTTACTGTTTCCCTGTTATAAAATTGTTTAGATCTCTTATTATTATTTGACTCCTTATATGGAAACTCAACTTTACAACACACAAAAATATATTTTTAAAACAACTAACATAATATCGTGTCTTGAAGTAAAAAGATCATTGTTTTTTTTTTATAAATATTCGAATGCTGAAATTTTATTTTAAAAGACATTTGGGCAAGTGACCACTTAAAAAGGCTATATAGTAGCCTCCATTGCCACCGCTATTGCAACCCGCTTTTCGTAGTCCTATTTAAATATGAATGAGCAATCTCTATAACGATATATATCATTGGTCATTGCTGCAAACGTGCTCTGTTGCCAGATCTACGACCGGAATGAATTTTTAATGGATCAACCCGCATAAGATCAATGTTTTATGAATATACTAAGAACGTTATATCTATGTTCTTTTTAGTATGTCCTTTATAGAATGTTCTTAGAACATACCTAGTATATACTTTGAAAGTATATTCTAGAAAGTATATACTGAGTACGTGCCTTAAAAATATATTCTAAAAAGTTTATACTTAGCACATGCTATAACAGAACATTCTTAAAAGTCATATACCCAGCATGTACCTCATATTCTGAGAACGTTCTAAATGCTTACAGGTAAAAATGGATATGAATTTTTCCCAGGTGCCGATTTAATAATTCGCTAACAAACGTACTAATGTTTAGTGTTTAGGCCAAAAATCATTCGCAACCTTAATAGAAGAGAAGAATGACATAACCAAACATATTTTTTGATCACGCTTTAAGTTTTTAAGTTGTTAGATTGGCGTTGCATCGCTTTATTGAATAGGTAAATAAATTAATAAAAATCAATTGCATCGTGTGTTCTATATAAAATAAACAATTTTACTATATTTTTAGTTTTAAGGACATACAAGTGATGTTAGAACACAGGGTATTCAAAATATTAATTTCCAGAGTGAATTTATTAATATGGTTAGTACTAATGGTGAATTGAAACATAACCTCCCTACAGCACTAGATGTTGACTTATTTCTGCGAAAAACATGTTGAAATTTAATCAAAAGTCTATTATGTTCTAGAAATTTAATGAACCTGTTATTATAGGCCATTTTGAATACTTTAACCAGTTGACTTTGAATGCAGACGTTCCTATAGTTTGCCATTTCATATACAGACCCTTTATTTTTATATATAGGAATGGATTTTGATTTTTTTAATATGCTAGGATAGTCACCATTCGTTTATAAGGTAGGACATAGGTACACTAATATCTTCAGCAATAAAAGACAATATTGTTCCATCTATTTCATCTATACCGGCAGATTTTTTAAACGTTGTTTTCTGTATAATTTCTGATATTTCCTTTGGGGTAGTTGGAGTTAAAAATTGATTGCTTATAGAAAAATCTTGAAGCCTTGCTTCACTTTAATTTGATAGAAGATAGTCTACATCAGTAAACTGATTATTAAAAGCATTACATATATTTTGTACACTAGAAATTTTTTACTGATTTTTCTATTGCCTCATTTACAATTCTCCAACATTCTTTTGTTGAATTTTTTTGCATTAATTGCCCTTTTATTATTATAGGAAAGTTTTGCTTATTTGACTTTATTATCATAAATTATTTTGAGTTTTTTATATCTATTCCTAATAGTATCATTATTACTATGTAATTCACACAGCATCTCATGCAGTTATAAAAATTATTTTAGTGTCGTTTAGGTTTAACTTTTTTATATGTAAAAGCATTGTTTAAATGGAACAAAAAAGTCGAATAAAAGCTGTTAAATTTGTAAGGCCATAAATTGACCTGGAAGAACTAGAAAATTAGCTAAAGGAGGACGAAAACTACAAAATGGTGGTAAGTAATGAACAAAAATATATTTAAACTTTCACTAAACTTAATAATCATTTATGCAAATCTAATTTTTGTTAGTTGAATGCCATGTATAATTTTTAATGTTTAACCTACATTCGACAAAAATATTTAAAATATTCCAATAGTTATGTACACTTAATTTGTATATGTACCAAGTTTGTTGATTTTTTTTTATTTTTTAGGTTCAATGAAGATCTAATGTAAGCAAGCAAATAAAACTCAAGCCATAGATACAATAAAATGTTGGTTGGTCAAGGCCAAAGAAAGAATTTGTAATAAAAATACAAATAAGTGTGAATTTTTTGGGAATAAAGATTATATATACTTATTCTTTGACGTTTAATATTAATGAAACATCCTGTATTAGGTTGTCTAGTATATGCCTAGTATTTGTTAAATTTAAATACTTGGTATATTCTTAAAACGTACTTTCAAATGAAAGTAGATACTTATTGCGTACTGTAGGTATACTTGAAGTACATTCTCAGTATCTGCATAGCACGTATATAAACAACGTCACGTAACATATACTTAGTATATTCTAAGAATATACTAAATGCAAATTAAGTATATTCTGAGCAAATGCATATTTTTAAAAAGTATATACCAAGAATATGCTTAGAATGTATAATTGTTATCTGGGAATAGCGTTAATAAGTCTATAAATATTTAACGATCCTTCTTGCAACCGACTGTTACACTTTCACATAACTCTTTTAATTTCTTCCATATTTTCTTTCTTAAGTTCTATTTCTATTCTCTCCTTAGTAACGTACTTAATATAAAATTCTTTGTTATGTTTGGTGTGATATAAAATATATAAATTCAGTTACCTCTCCTCTATCAAAATCGAACAGAAAATTTTATTTTTTTTTTAAACACCAAACAAATTTATGGCTCGCAAGGGAATCAAACCACATGGTAATTTGGGATTGAAAACCCGTTGTAGCCAAACAGCAGGCGGCCTGGCAATATCGACCATTTTCATAAAATTCATAACATTCAGTTTTTGTAGGTTAAATTTCCATCTGATATGTCAAAGTGGAATGAATTTAGTATCAAATACGTAGAACTCGAATTTTATAGGATCACGGGAAATATGAAAAATTAATTATCATTAGCAACTATTTTTCAGACGATTTTCTAAAGCTTTCCAAATTAACACATAAAGACTTAAAAAACTGTTTTAGGTATATTCGACGTCAATTATTAAGACAATAATCATATTCACTTTCCACAATTTCTTTAAATACATCTCATCTATAGGTAAATATTTTTTAACAAAATATTTTTAACTCTAGAAGTGGATAGAAGCGTAAGAGACTATCGGCAAAGATTATCTGTCAATTTATGAGTATTTTTATGCATAACGTTTACTTTTGGAGGAAGGAGATATTAGATAGGAAACGAGTTTGAGAAAAAAGCCGATGGAGAAAAGAGTAGAATTAGCACATTCAAAACAATAATTATTAATAAAACTGAAAAATTTGTTAATAACCTAAAAGCCTTGAATAATTGGCTAGAGACAAGAACCTAAAACCAACACCCTCTAAGGTATAAGCTGATATAGGGGTAAGAAAAGAACGAATATTTGGTCATTGGTGATAATCCAAAATCCCTGAATAATTGACTATAAAAGAGAACCTAAAACCAAGGTATAAGCTTTGTAGTTCATTTGCAAATTACAGAATATTATTCCCTAATAGAATTAATGTACAATCCAACAAAATTATATTTATAATAATTGCATCTATCAATAAAACAAAAAGAATGTCTGAACATGTTGTGATAGTCTTTATCTATCTATCATTGACTTCTGAAATACACCTATTCAATTCCAAAGTTATTTCAAGTATTTTATTTGAAACTGTGTCGGCTTTGGAGAAGAATGTGACACTATTATTGTATTATATAACACGTCCTGCTGATATATTGTAGTTTAGAACGTTTATTTCATTTTCATGACACACTTTTCTTCGAGAAATTCTATGAAATTCCTTCGGGAAAACACTGAATTTATTGTTTGGTATAATAGAGTGGCTTTACAAAACTAATTATTATTGAATATAAAAGAAACTGAAATATTTTTATGGTTAACTGAAAATTTATTTTTATATTGATTTAGTTTATATAATTGTCAGAATTTTATTTTATTTCCTTTATAGTTCGAATTGTTGCACTTTATTTGGTTTAACACGCACTAAAGTTTTTATTACAAGAAAGTGAACTTTTATTACGCTCTGTATATTTTTGTATATTTTATTTGGAAATGATTATCTTAAATGTATATTTCCAGAAAAAATTATTATTATATTGTTACTCATTTTCACAGTAAATTACTTTTCTTTTGAGTTTATTCAAAAGTGAAAATACCATTTTGAATCCCGTGTGACCTAAATTTTCGTTAAGTACAAAAAATTAATGGATTCATTGATTTGTATAATTATCGTTTTTGTAAAATGCCACGATTTAAAAACTAAATTAAAATTTTTAGGGATGATAAGAATCCAAAATTATTTTAATATATTTTGCTTGTTATTGGGATATAGCCCGCTATATAATGAGATAAAAACGTTTTGCGAGGCTCCTGGTGACCGAAGATTTAAGATTTGTATTGGTTGAGTTTATGTCAATAATGTCAACTGTCAGCGGGCGACCAATGAGATTGCAGTGCTGTAGGGCACTGGGGCATAATATCGTTGAAAGGATTGAAAGAAGGATGGTTGATGGTGGATATATTACTGGTAAATTTATTATTCTCTTTACCTTGCAGTTTCTGCAGTGGTGAACGATGGAATAGTTCTGTGAACAATCATAGCGAGTGAGCAGATCAGCATGGGTACAGGATAGAGACCTGGCGAAGTTATCGACCTCTTGAAGTCTGGTGAGGAGTCGATGGCAGGTGTTGGGGTCCCCGTGGAAGGCGGCCTCGGGGAGCGCCTTGTCGACAGCGTGTTCACAGCAATGGGGCATCCGGAGTCGGTGCAGCACGTCACGCCTGCGCTGGGGCGGCACGTCTCGGCCGCAGACTTCCTCTTTGTGCGAATCTTGCAAGTAATGAAGGCACTGTTTAGATCTGTCTGAGGTCTGACAGGGCGGCGGACAGAAAGTGTCGTCGTCGAGGGTTGAACAATAAGAAGATGAAAGTGGCCACGTAGGAGCGCCGTCAACGCCAACGACAATAACGGAGGAGGCGTCGAAGTGGTCGTCGTCGTCAGAGAGCGGTGACGATGAGCTGGTGAAAGTGGCGGCGAACGCCAGGCCGGCCATCAGGAGCAGCGATGACAGGCGGCCCGATCGAGGGGCCCGGGGCATTCTGCGGGGCAGGGTGCAGTGGCGGCGACGGCGTCAGCAGCTACGGGAACCGGGAGCATCGCTGCGGGCGGCCGGAGTGCCCCCCCTCGCGGCTCCGAGTGCCCCCGGGATCGACGACGGTTTGCCTCCGAGGCTCCCGGCTAGAAGAAGGCTGCTCCAGACTCCAAGCGCGCCCCCCACAACCCTCGCTCATGCTGCATGCTTACCGCCGGCATATAGGAACGAGGAGAACGAGGAGGCGGTGCAGGAGGGCCCCCTAGACATCTCACATCACTCACTTTAAGACACTTGTCGCGTTACCGAAACTCTAACACTTGAAACATCGTATCGTTGGGCCGCCATCTTTACTCGAAGAGGTAAATGCGGTGTGATGATGGTCAGAGTCGTCCTCCCCGCCCGGGCCGAAGCTGTGGCACCGGCCGTCTCTCACTCGACACTGACAGCTTGGCGGCGGCGCACTAAGGCGCCGGCGCGATCGATACCGCCGCCTCTCATACGTACGTACAACAGACGCGAAAATCGCGAGACGCACCCCGCGCACGCCGCTCCGCGAACTCTACGCGAGGATCATACTCCTTGCGCCCGCAACTCCATCTGCTTGCAAATAGATTTCGGAACTTTAAAAAGGGATACTCATCGCTGGATGGAAACTATCGTTTTGTTGAAGTAAACTGCTCGGTAATTTTAAAATGAATTCCAGTATGAATCCATAAATTTAGAAAGGTAAAAAATCATTTAAATTTTTTTAATGCCTACTCCCGTTGGCATGAAAGACATGAAAAAATGTTTCGAATAAAATGTTTAAAAAATTTTATTACGTTATTTTGATACATATTTTCATTTAGTATCGAATATATTTTATAAATCCGCATTAGATTATACAGGGCGATTTTTAACATGCGAACAGATAGATGAATTTCTTACCTCAATTTCTGAATTTACATTCACACGATTCAGTGGCGCAGCGAGAGGGGTTAGAGGCTGAATCCCCCCAGACCCAGACGCGAACCCAGACGATTTTAAAAATTAAAAAGTTAAACTAGGTAAAAACTTATTATATCTTTTAAATATTCTCAATTTTTTTTTAAATCGCCCCCTTAAAACAAAATTCTGGCTGCGCCACTGTCACGATTAGTAACTACTAGCGCTTTTTGGGATATTTGATGTAAATGAAGAATTATACTATGTTTTTAGTGACATAATTTGTAGCCCTACTCTATATTATTTAGCTTGTGATTGCTGTAAAGGCAGCTATGACACAAATTTAGTTTGGTTTTTTACTATCTGTCTCTTAAGTTTTCTTAAAATTACTAGAGAAGTCCAGCGATCTGTCGGTTTCTCGAGTTGTTTCAAATACTTAATGTAATTATTCATTGTGTCAGCTAGATCATTTAATTTAAAGGAAAATGGTTGTGTAATCAAAAATTTCCCTTACTTATATGATTTGATATTAATTTTTCTGAATTATTAAACTTTTTTTTTTCGTATTTATGTATGCGAAATTTACACAGGACCGGGCTTACTTTATTTGATAAAGTAACAGAACAAACTAACAGGAACAAATAATTAATTAAAACTAAAGTGGATTTTCAAAATAAACACCGTAAACGTCAATACACCTCTGCGAACATTTTAACAGGATTTTCAATGATTTGTCAATTATTTCTGTTTTATTTCTAATGTTGTTAATACATTATTAATTTTTTTACAATAACTGTGCTCGGGTATTAATTTTTTTGTTGTACACCTCTGATTAAAGGTAGCCCCATAAAAAATAATCTAGAGGTGTGAGATCTGGAGATCTTGGTGGCGAATTGACGGAACCGCTTCGACCTATCCATCTATTTGGGAAACGATGATTTAAATGGTTTCTGACCAGTATTGTAAAATGAGGTCCAGCACCATCGTGTTGAAACCACATTCCTTTGGTATTAAGCCCTTCTAACAAATTTGGCTCTAAGGAAATTTAAATAAACTTCAGCTGTTAATCTACTTTAAAAAAAATAAGCAGTACCTAGGTACCAGAAACAAGTATATGGAGCACTTAAAAAAAAATAAATTTGTATCTATTGCATGTACAAAAAGTACAGCGACTTGAACACACATAAAATGTTTAGTTAGGAATTTATAAAAATCACTTAATACCTAAGCACAGTTATTTAAAAAAAATTAACAATGTATGTAACAATATTAGAAATAAACCGGAAATAATTGACAAATAGTGAAGAACCTGTTAAAACGTTCGCAGAGGTGTATTAACGTTCACAATGTTAATTTTGAAAATCTACTTTAGTTTTAATTATTTGTTTCTGTTAGTTTGTTCTATTACTTTATTAAATAAAGTAAGCCCGGTCCTGTGTAGATGTTCAATTTCTTAATTGAAAATGCTGTAGTTAAAAAAAATGAAGATGGTATCTAATTTGTGTAGAGTTTTAAAAGTACAAAGTAAAATATTTGATTTTAATAATGTAAATACTGATTTATAATATTGTAGTCGCCATTATAAAAATTTACTGTAATAAAATCAAGATGGTGCCATTAAATATTATTACATTATTTTATTTATTGATCCACTTACTATTTAAATGTGCAGTGACATTTATTAAAACCGATAGACAGGGCAAAGAGCAATGTAAAAAAAAAGAGTCTGGTCCTGGAATTTTTTAAAATTAAATTATGGTTTTGATTAACCTAAAAGAATGTAACTTTTGTACACAATTTTTTCAAAATATATCTAGCCATTTAAACAAAATGGCTGATTTTAGTTTTGGCAAAAAATTATAAAACACCTTATATCTTAGAAACGAGTAAGTGTACTCTACCTCCCATTAAGTTGTGTCCGTTTAAATCTGAAACACCCTGTATATCAGTAATTTTGCCCGATTGATTAAATTAAAAATAGTATCTTTAAATTCCTCTTAGAATGTCTTTTGAGCTAACAATAATTATTTTTCGTCTGTGACCAATTATTCAATTTATTTTCGAAATATTTCGACCGTTTGTCAGCCATCTTAACGTCTTATGAGAAATGTTAAAATACGTTTAATTAACAGTTTCTAAATTTTACAAATCGAATATACAAGGAGCGAAAATAGCGAAGAACAGAAACTTACTACTGATCCTTTTTTCTTCCTTTTCCAAGTGGATCTTCCCTTTTCGCTTTATATAGATCTAGGCTGCCACTTTCATGTTTCACCTTTGTTGTATTGTACTTAATTTTAAGTTAATATAACATCTTCAATTTGGAAGAAAAAAAACTTACTACATTTATGTTTATTCGCCTGCCCGTATATATGGTTCGAATAGGACCATATTCCGTATAGTTTCAAATAAATCATATATTCTATATGATAATTAAAATTATACAGGACGATTTTTATCAGAGATCATACACAATATTTCGGAGGACTTTATTTTGAATATCTGGATGATATCCATACTAGTTGGACTAATTCATTCCCAAAGACACATTGGTTTTTAAGATTTGCTTGCAAATAAACAATTTATTGTTTTTAATAATTAGAATTCTGGCAACCAGTACATTTTTTATATTTGGTATTTAGTTCTAAAAACTTTAAAAGGTATGATTGTGTTCAAAAGTAAAACGAAATGTTTTAGAATTACTCAAGCACTTATTGTGTATAATGGACACCGAAGTTAAAACAAGAGGTGTGTTCCAAGAGACAGTAAGGTAGAAATCAGCGAAAATCAAAATGCATTCGATATAGTAGATGGATAAAAAAAAACAGAAGGGGCTAAAACAGCTCAAGAAAGGGACGCAGAAGATATACTGCACTTACGTTCTAGTGGAAACTAAGCTATAAGTTCTCGGTCATGTCTTGAATGGATGACCTGCTGTAATCTTGCATGGGACTAGGGTTTAACCATCTAAGACGTGAAGGTGGAGTGAATGGGTTTTACATTAGAGTCAAATGATAGAACAATAAGCGCAATATGCCGTCACGCTTTAGCCCTAAAGTTCCTTGAGATGGACTAGGGTAATAGAAAAGAGTCATAAAGGCCGTGTATTACTAGAATTTAACAAGCAAGTGTCTTATAAAAGAAGAAAACGAAGGATAAAAGAAAAGTTTCGTTTACTATCTGATGAATAGTAGTAGCTATTAAAATGTACTATTTAAAAATTAATGTATCTCTAATACCTATAACACCAAAAAAATTAAAAGTAAATATTTAATACATATATCAAAAATAAAATGAATATTGAAAGTTATTGTCTTCATAAACAGTTTTAAGATAATTAAATAATTTTAAAAACATACTTTGATAAATTTTTAATGTCTTCCAAACAGAATGAGACCATAAAAATAAAAATCTGGGTTAACCTTAAACATTTTTTTTGTTTTATTTTCGTTAATTCCTCTCTCAATCATATTTACGCTTTTAATACATCTAATAAAAATTCTTATATTTTATGCCAATAACTTCGTGAGATTATTTTTCTTCGAATTCGCACAAGAAAAGTTTTCAACAACTTGCGTTTAATCAATACATAAAAGCCTAGAGTCGGAACTTTTCGCACCCTGCTGCCATCTATTAAACCGTTTCTCAACTAGTGCTGAGGGTTAGATGAAAATGCGTTACATAATAAGTAATGACCAAGGACCGGAAAAATGCACCAAAAAATATTAAAAAATGCGCATTTTAATGCATTAATAATTATGATTAATAATCCTCACTTTATATTTGCGTGACGTTGGATATAATCACATTTAAATAAAATAATAATTAGTTTTTTAAGTACATACTTTATTTACCATTATCTTGATTAGGCACATACATTATATAATACTTATTTAAATACTAGCATACATAAGAACATAGTATATTAACAAATATATCCTATTTATTGAAATTGTTAAAAGCATTGATAACTAGGCATATTTCAAAATTTTCGACAAGAAAGTTTTTATCCGTATACATATGTTTATACATCGAAAATCTTCGTTCTCCGTTTACAAATGTAATAAGGGCATAATTCAAATGGGTAAAATATTTAAATTGATTCCTGACAATAGTTTATAAATCTTTTTTTTAAATTTGTAACCCTTCATTTTTTCATGAACTTTTTTAAATGCTTTCTCCGCTTTATCTATTAATTCAACAGCTTTAACTAAAGATACAGATGTATTTTGTAATTGCACAAGGATTTTTGACACAAAGGAATAATTTGATTTTATGTAAACAAGCTTATGTGGTAGTTGTTAATTTTTAAATAACTTTGTAGACTCTGAAAGAGCATCTAAAGAAGAATCTGTTAAATCAAGAATGACTCTTAAAGATTAATCATCAATTCTGTAATATAAGCACTTGGCAGAAATCAGTTTGTGATTTATAGTGTCGAAACGCTTTAATAAAGTCTAAAATAATTACTGCATTCGATTTTTTCTTGTCCATGCTGTTTAGAAAATTATCTGATAGATATGCCAGAGTTGTGGTACTGAGACCTTTCTGAAATCCTGACTGATGTAATGGAATTATATGATTTTGTGATAAAAATTCATAAATTTGCGAGTAGGCTAATGGGCTAAAGGGAAAATTTAAAATATGTTTTATATTTCTTAAAAATAATTTTGAACATGTTGGGAAAAGCACCTTTTGCCATTTTTCAAACCCTTTAGACAAATTTTCAGACACTATTGAACTTTTTTTCAGACAGAGGTATTCTAAAAAAATATATTAAAATAGAATATTATTAATAACGAAACTTTCTTGTGCAGAAATTGATTTTAGTTACAATGTTACGTGATTTCTATATTTTGGGGTGAGATTAATAGAGGAAAGTGGTACTGTGAATTGTCCAGGACCATAATTCTTAAATAAAACAAATATGTCATTACAAAATATAATTTATTAATTTATTGCTAAGAAGGAGTACAATACTAGTATTTGTTTTATCAACGGTTTGTTTAAATAATTAAGTAGTTAATTTACAGAAGTAAGAATTTACATTAACACAAATTTATAAAAGATAAGTACAAAATAATTTTTCAAACGACATATTTACGAATATAATATTCCAATATAGATAAATAATTATTCACAATTTCATAAAATAAACATTTTATACAATTCTTGTAGTTCCAATAAAGTTTTAAGATGATAGCCCAGATATTAATTTCACTTTTTTTATTATTATAATATGTATGTTTGACAATGAACATTTGAACATAAAATAATTTATTTTTAGAAGAAAATCAATTTTCCTAAAATAAAAATAGTGTCTACATTTATGATTTTAATACTTTTTAGACCAGATTTTAAAAAAATGGTTTATGCATCATAGCTACGGCGTAGAAAGTAAACAATGTGTTTAAAAATAATATAATTATCATTGCCTTTATGTTTAGAAATATAGAAACAAAACCTCTTGATTGTAGGTCTAGTTAGTAGATAGTCTAAGTTGTATACATTCAATGACTGATGACATAAGTCAACAGTCATATCATGTAGTTTTAGCGGCACAGGAGCCTGTGTTATTGCTCGATTATTTTAAACTGTCAATTATTGAATACACAACATTGTGTATATCAACTATTTGTTTTAATGGAAGTTTCAAATGTTACTTATTGATTTAAAAGTATAGGAATTTTTATTTGACTTCCGGAAAATAAATTGAACAGTCTTTGAACAAATTTTAGTGAGTTACAGCTGACAATAAACATAACAAAAAAGTCTTATCTAATACGATCACAAATCTCAACAGTTTTCAAGAAAAAAAAACGAATAAAAATGAATGATTTTTTATTAAAAACGGCAAAAACTGTGAGAATGGAGTACATAGATTAAGACTTTGTTATAAATATTTTATTGGGTAGGTGCATAAAGGCTGTCAGTCACCCTTTTTACCCAACAATGATCACTGGGATTACTAATGATAATTTCACTTTAAAAAGACACCGAGTTGTAGCTAAAATGCATTGAATCCATTCCACGAAAAATTCTTAAATTGGAAAAGTTCTGGCATGGAAAACAATTCACAAACCTATCATTATTATTTGGCTTCACGAATTGATTAACGAGGTAATATTAAAACTTATAAACTTAAAAAACTAAAAAAAAAAAGTAAATCACAATTTTTTCAAAAGTCAGTCAAAGCGGTTTTCGTTTATAAAACGAAAAATTCGCTTCGTCGATTCTATAAAACACTAGTTAACAACGCCCTCGTTGATGCCACTAGTATCGTCAGAACTACAGATGTCGCTGCTAGTCGACTTGCGGAACTGTTGCCGTTGCCGCCAGAAAATTCCTGAGGTGTTAAATCGGGCATGTCGTGGTGTACACCTAGAATTTTTAAGATTATAATAAACATCGCGTAGAATAACAAACAACGAGAACTTTTGACATAATTCTTGGTCGGCGATTAAAACAAAGTTGGTAATAAGTAATTTGTTTAAACAAAACAACGCTACCAAGGCAACATCACAACTGTCATTGTTATCCACAGTAAGGTAAACCAACTACACGATCATTGACATTTTACAGGTGTTTTTAAAATATGGCGTCAAACAGTGCGTAGTACTAAAAAATCCACCAGAGGTCGGTAGAAGGTGAGGTACCGCAAATGAAAACAAATAATGACTGCGAACTGTCAGAAAAATTGTATTAAACTTTTTATTATATACAGTGTGTCTACTTAAGTTGGAACCATATGGAAAACATTTTTATTATTGATTTTAGGAAAAAAAGTTATTCTTGATAAAAAGTCCTGCATGACCCAAAACTTAAAATACAGTCATCAGATATCAAATTTTTCAAGCCGTATACGAGGTTTGTCAAAAAATATGAATTTTGCTCGAAAATTTTCATTAAGAAATTTGCTAAATTCTTCACAAACATCAACAAAAGGAAAGCGTATCATGTTTATAGTAGCTAACGTAATTTATAACGTTTTCAGATATTTACAATCAATGTGTAGAGTGTAGAGTTTATTAAAAATAAGAAAAATCTGTTTTTTCAGATAGATCGGTGTAATTGCATATTTGAATGTAATATTCAATTCTAATCAACTTTATCTAGCTCTTATAATGATCAAACAGGTACCTCACTGTCTAACGACCTCTGGTGGATTTTTTGAAACTACGTTGTGTTTGGTGCCTTATCGTCTTTTGTTTTTATATGGGTTTTTAGGGAAGTTGAAATACCTATAATAATTGTAATTCATCGTGACCAGCTCCCATTTAAAAATGAAAATGTGGCAAAAATGGAGTAAAAATTCGCTATGTTCGCTAGTGAATTTACAGTATTGCCAACGATAAGGATTTTCCCAGATTTTTGAATATTAATCATAAATTGGTGTTTATCAAAGATTATAGCGTTTTCCATTAATTGCTCATTTTCTACCTAACAGAAATGTCACCGAATTAATTTTGCTTTTATAAAGTGAAAAATACAACTGAGAATCTAATTTTCAACAATAATACTGATTTATTATGTTTATAGAAAATGACATCACACACAAAAGTAGTTTAAACTGCTATGGTTTCGAGAATTTTGAGTAATTCGACTCTATAAAATTTACAAAACAGTATGTCTGCATACGTATACGTGTCACTTTGTTTGTATCACCTTGTATGTTGAAAATTAGACCCGCGTTGTATTTTTCATTTAATAAAAGCTAAAACAAAACTGTAATTTGGTGAACCCCCTATTTTTTTGAAGTAAATAAGCAAGCAAACCTAGCGGAGTTTTATGCGTATCCTGATCAATTTTAGCTATTTTTTTAAAAAGTTGAAACACCTTATGGTAACCCAATCAAAGTACAGACGGCGGTGATATTGTTGACAAATTATGACAGAAGTTGCTATGATTGCTTGGGTGTGTTTTGTAATTCTGGTTCTTTTAAAGGTATTAGACATTCCAAACAAAATGGTTGCCCGTTGGTAATGACAGGTTATAATATGGCAACCCTGTGGATCTGATTATTTGATAGGGTCAATGATATAGATAATTATATAGATTGATCATCCACGTATTTCAAAAAAAGCATGTTAGAAGTAAAAATAAATTATTTTTTTACTATATTTAAAGGCTGTCAGTTGGCAATGATTCGGAACGTTGTTACCATAGTAACGGAACAAAGGCAGACTGTATTATCAAACAACGATCGCAAAAATGCAAAACAGGACCGGTAAAAGCTTTTACCGGTCCCTAATGTCTACTTTACGGTCTTGATTGACAAAACGTTATTTTCTAGACGAAACATTGTTCAGAAAGTGTTGGTTTTAAAAACAAATTTTTGCTAAACTGATTCTGATTAATGAGCACTTGCAAGGCAATATGGCCGCCGGAAAACGACCTGCTTCGAACAATCTATATAATTATATATGTATCATTGACCTTGTCAAAGACAGGGTTGCCATATTATAACCTGTCATTACCTACACGGGCAGCATTTTGATAGGTTATTAGAATGTCTAATTCTAATGGATATTGGAGCAAATTTTGAAGAAACCAGAACAAATCAATTATCGCCAATTTAGAGAATCAATAATATGCTTATGTCAAATTATTATGATTATTTATATTATATTGCAGTCTTGATATGTCATAAATTCTCGCTGTATATAAAAAATTGACGAGTATTATTCAGTGTATTTATATAACAAATATTGTGCAACGAGTAACATGTAGATAATAATACGTGTGTTTACATTAAATATAACATAATTTTGCTCTTATGTACCTAGAATATGGAAAAAAAGAATGTGAAGGAATTAATTTAGTTAATTAAAGTGTATATTTTTGTTTTATTAATTAAAAAATATTCTTTGTGAAAACTTTTATGCACTGTCACTAAAACTCTAGCGATGTTCTAGCAGCATTCATTAATACTTTTGCAAAATTATGTTTTTAAACAAAAAAATAGTCATTTCAATAAACTTTAATCTTCACGAGAAACTGGTTAACCAAATGCGCATCAAATAGTTATCAATAAATAAAACTAGTTAAAAAAAAGTATTAATTTAAATTTTAGTAATACATGAAAGGGGATCCAGTAATACTTTAGGGGTGTAATTTGCGCAAAGAAAAATGTAAAATTATTCACTCATTCTTACCTTGTAGATAATGGAAATACTTTGTTGCAGTCGTAGAAATAATAAACTTGATATAGGCCTCTATAGCTTAGGTGTTAAAGCCCTTAACTTAAGATTCCGCGACCTGGGTTCAATTCCCAATAAAAGCAATCATTTTTTTTTTATTTATATATACGACCTTTACTATTTATTTTAAATATATTTTATTTAATATAATATAACCCCTACAATTAGGCAATCCGTTAACTTTCAGCTATTTATTTTGTACTATTCTGAACCGTTATCAAAATAGTACATAATAACGAATTGTCTAACTGTAGGGGTTATATTATGATAAAAAAATTGTATTTAAAATAAATAAACACCAATAGTCGTAATTTTTAATTTTTCCAAAATAAAAAAAATGAGAATATTGCGGCCTGAAATATGACGGCTTACATCAAGTTAATTATCCAATCAAATATGTAACATTAGCATTTTCTACAACGGCTTTTTTAAAACACATTAAACGCTCCACCGCTGATGCTTCTGCAGCAAAGTATTTCAATTTTCTACAAGGCAAAAATAAACGATAAATTTGTAAATTATTCTTGCGCAAATGTGTACCAAAAAAGTGTCACTACCAATAAGAAAAAATATATCATAGAATTAGTATTATTAATTTTAAAGAATTAGTATTTATTAAAAACCATTCTACCCTTATTTGCAGATTCAGATCTAGAAATATACTTGATAATAGTGATAGGATAAAGCAAAACTAATACAATTTAAATTATATTTAATTAATTAATAGTAGTTTGGATGCTTTCTCTTTAGTTGATTTTCAATTTTACTTGTCTTATTTCACGGAGCTGGGTCGTTATTAATATATTTTTAAATGAGACACACTGTATTTATAGTAAAAAAAGTTAAATAAAACTCCAGGATAAACAAGAAAAATTTAGAATTCCCTAAAAAGTTGCAATTCAAAACTACTTATTGAGTTGTTTTTGCGTTTTTCATAAATTTTATTCTGTAATGTTAGGTCTTTAGTTTGGGACACACTGAAGATATCTAACGAATGTGTCGCTTTTTAAAAAAAAATTGCTTCTATATAAGAAATCTTTCTTCGTTTTATTATTGGTAGTAAATCTCTTTAAAATACCATTCGTTTAAGTACTTCATCATTGTATACAATAAGTACATGGTATTTTTCAATCGAGAATAAAGGACTATTTAGCTCCATTTGTATCTTTGACATTAACGTCATGTTAATATATTTATATTTAAATAGATTATTAGAGGTTTAAATAGAGTTTTAGAGTAATCTTTTCAAATATAACTCTCACTTGATGAATTAATTTATTGCTGTTAAAGAACCTTGTAGATTCCTTATGGTAAATGGCTTTCAGTCGAATCTGCTGAGGTTTATATATGCTGCAGCTTTTGGCATCTTTACTAAAAGTGACCATGAGAACAAAGTTCGTCTGTGACTACTTTTTGAAATATATGATGTTGAATTTTCATAATTTTCAAAAATATTTAATGACTTAAATGTTGTAATTTTGCCGACATTCAAAAATGTTAAAAGTTAAAGTTTGACTCTATAAGATATTTGTCTACCAAAATACAATACCAACCGTTTTTGGAAAGATACAGGGTGAGTAATTTCATAAATTAAAGTAGAAAACCTATATTTACGTTTAAAAAATTGTTTAATGCACAAAATATTGATCAAAAAGTGAGTGTAATTGACACTTTCTTATTATAAAAAAATACATTATATAAAGTTAAAATATAGGTACAAAAATTGGCAATTTTTCAAAACTAATAATAGTATATTGTAAAATAGTGATCAATGAACCAACTTTGTGATTCACCCCGTATACGTGTATTTTTTATAATAATAAAGTGTCATTTACACACACGCATATAACAGTACATAAATATTCCATTTATTATAATTATTTTAGGCGTTATACGATTTTTTTAACATATATTTTTTTCTAAAAAATTACTCACCCTGCAGAGTTGTTTTGCAAAACGGTTGGCACACAGCACCACATGGGGAAGCAACGACACTAATCAAAGAAGTGAGCAACTTCTGGAATACATTTTTAAAAAGAACCTTATTGTGCAAAATATTGTGAATACTCCAACATTTGTAACAAGGCCAAGAAGTGAGGCATTAGATATCACATTAGGTACACCGATCATTAAAGATCTAGTTACAAACTGAAGATTATATCGAGTTATCTCTATCTAATC